TTTTTTGTACATTATAAGAAAATCAATAACAAAAATAATTATTGCTTTCAGACACCTTTGCTGGTTTGTGCTAATGGACCATTCCGTTCATTCTTGGAAATCAACATTCCACTTGTGCAAAATAAATTCTGGCCGACATTATGGTGTTTCGAATCGCGAGCGCAGACCATTATGGCTAGCATTTTGAGATCCCGGATATTACCATACCTCGAATATCGCAGGTTGGTAAAAAAATATACAGAGACCAGTACTAAACTAACACAATTATTCGAGCACTAGACTTAAATTTGGAAAATAATGCGCGTTCCATCAGATTCCATTGTATAGCACTCTCTTTACGTTACGCAGAGAAATTCTTGCTTTGTCCGACGGTGGTGAAGTGGCCTTGGATTGGGCTGAGAAAGATTGCTCGATCACCTCGCCAATCGTCGTTATTTTACCTGGTCTTACAGGCGGTAGCCAAGCGGAATATATCAAATGTCTGGTATCAGCCGCGAGAAAAAATGGAATACGATGTGTGATTTTCAATAATAGAGGCTTAGGTGGATTGCAACTCAAGGTAGAACATATTTGTGAACACGATAATTCTTCCAGTTATCTTGTTATTTAATTATTTTTTATTGTAACAGGAATTTAATCGAAAAGAATTTTCTATAATCTGTAATGAAAATTTTCCCTTTTTTTTGTTACTTTTAGACTCCACGAATGTATTGTGCCGCTAACTATGATGATTTAAGTGAAGTCATAGAACACGTGAAGAAACTTCATCCACATGTACCTCTCGGAGCAACCGGGATTTCCATGGGAGGGTAAAGATTATATTTATGTCTAGTTTATTCTTCAATTAATAAATAAATCATATACCTGTACAATACCTAACAAGATAAAATATACATATTTGAGCATTTTGTTATTTACATTAATAAATAACATTTTTGTAAACCATTGCATGTCTTTTTTTGCCATGTGCAGGTTGATCTTAGGTAATTATTTAGCTCAGAAAGGTTTAATAGCAAGGTCCAAATTGAGAGCGTGCCTTATTATTTCGGTGCCATGGAATGTGTTTGCAGCGACGAAGAGTACTGAGGAAAATTATTTTAATCGAATGCTGAATAAGCATCTAGCTAGCAATTTATGTCGCACGATACAACGACACAGAGATACCGATGTTGGTCCTTTCAACGTAGATATGGATACTGTTCTTAAGGTATGATTTTATCAAATATCACTATAGGGAAAGATCAGATAATATATTGAATTTTTAATTTTTCTGACGTAAACCCATTTCATCAATGTAGATTAACTTTAATTTTAATTCAACTTACTTTTTATCTTTTTCTCGTTCTAAGAATTAGAAAAGAATAAAGAGTAAATTAAACAAAAATTGTTAATCTATTGGTTAATCTATTGGTAGAAATGACAGTAATATTTTTAAATTTACGTCAAAATTTAACAGAATATAATTTATATAATTTATTTTAAAATAACCAATAACCCAATAAGCAAGAAACATTTAGAAACATTTAGAAACAACAACATTGCAGTAACTTTGCGCAAATGTTTTAGAATGTTCCTTGCTCACTGGGAATTTATATTTTAATTTTGTTTTTTTTTTGTTCTTTTTCGCATTACTACAGTTATGCTTTCACAAAAAGATAGATATATCATAGTTCATTTCCAGATAATGAATTTTTTATGAATTCAATCAAGATTTTTAATTAAGAGATAAATTTTGTTTATATTTGGTATCATCATATCATTGTTTGGTATTCTGAACCTGACTCATAATAATCACTATGAATTATTACATCCGGTAGAGCCAAACAGTAAGAGAATTTGATTCGAATTTTACGGCAAGGCACTTTGGATATAAAAACGTCGAAGAGTATTATAGTAATGCAACGCTTCACGACAAGCTGCATCTAATCGAAGTTCCGACTTTGTGCCTTAGCGCGGCAGACGATCCGTTTCAGCCGTTGCAAGGTGAGAAATAAGAGCGCGACAATGATAACATTTTCATACGATTTTACTCAACGATCTGAATATTTTAGCGATACCTTTGAAAGAGATAAGTCAAACTAAAAACGTGGCCGTAGTGGTAACATCGCGTGGTGGACATATCGGTTTCCTGGAAGGCGTTTGGCCAGTCAAAGAGGAGCAATATATGGGAAAATTTTTCTCGCAATTTTTCACTGCGATGTTCACCAGCGATTTCGACTAAAACTTGATATTATCTATAAATCGGAATTGAATAAACGATATCATAAACCTTATCATGCCTCGATTTACTATCGTCTGACGTCAAAAGAAATACATACCGCGATATCGTTTATCTGTTCAATTTTTACAAGCTAAAATGTGATCAAGTTTATTTTAGCTTTTTATTATTTTCATATTACGTTGTAACGCAAAACTTGGAATTACATTTTACGGACCAGAAAATGCAATTCCGAATTTTGTCACGTTGTTTATGTGACCATGAGGTATTAAAAAGAGGTCCCACACTTATGTATTAAGCAGAAATTTTTGCTCATTATGATAATGCATACATTGAAATTTTTTTTGTTAATTATTTGTAATTAATAAAAAACTGACTTTTATAAGAATCTCTACCATTAATCAAAATTTTTTCCTGTCATTAACTTATTAAGTTACATGAAACATTTATTTTATGTATTAAAATTTATGTATTAAAATTTATAATCCTTATTTATTATAATTTATAAATAAAAATAAAAAGCTAATTCCACAAGCATTGAATTTTTCAGTGAACAATTCAAAAATATACATTTTTCATTGTATTACTTAAGAATAATAATTGATGATTATCAACAATCGTTTAACAAAACGACCATATATAGAGCACATTTTACAAATAGATAACATAAGATCATTTCTAAAGGAGAATACAGCTATAGTTTCGTGATATTAATACTGATATGCATAATTGAAGAATTCAACTTAGAAATGATTCATCCAGCAAATCACTCCATTGATGTTATTTTCTGATTGAGTTTATATACATAGTTACGTATAATTACATCAAAGATACTTGTCTCAGTGTAAATATATAGAAATGTTGCTAATTCTTATTACAACATTAATATATATTAATGATACATTAATGAATATTAACAATAAGAGACTTTATGAGTTATTTTTTAAGAAATTTTTTAGATTTATTTTCTTCTTGTATAACAAATAAAAAATATGGAGACATTTTTGTAGAGAGATTAATGTTTTAGTAAAACGTAGCTAATTACTACATGTATTTTTTTAATATTATCTTAAAACACACTTCATTAAATGTTTTTCAATGCTTGATTATATGCTTATTACGTTTTAAATGAAAGAAAAATATATATTACATAAACACTGTCGTAAGGTACAAATTTACTTACTTTTTTATTCCATACAAAACACGTTATTATAAAAGAACTTGCAATCAAAGCATACTTGAGTTTACAACAATATGTTGCAATATACGTGATAATCGAGCACGTTTAGTTACATCATATTACAATCCATTAATTTTGAATTTTATGTAAAATTTGTTGAGTTTTAGACTTTTTTTAAGCATTAATTACAATTTGAATTCCAAGCCCAAGGATTGCGCGATAAATGATAAAATGTCAGTACTCTCTTCAATCTAAAAAAATTATATAATAAAATATTTTCATTATGTCTGATATTTTAAATAAAATCATTTATATTGACTTAAATAAGAATCGTTTGCAGAAATATTTACCATTTTCATAGTTGGTTTTCCACTGCCATGACCTGCCTTGGTATCTATTTTTGCAAATAAAGGATTTTTCTGTTTTGATACATTTCCAAGTGTATATTGAAGAGTGGCTATTAATTTAAGAGTATGCAAAGGTACGACACGGTCATCATGATCAGCAGTCAAAAGCAACATCGCAGGATATTGTATATCATCTTGTGGTATCCTTACATTATGTAAAGGTGAATATTTCAACAAGTTCTCGAAATGCTTGGGATCATCGGGATTGCCATAATCCGAGACCCAAGCAGAACCGATAGTAAACTTATGAAAACGTAACATATCCATAACTCTGCAATTTAAAAAAGAAAATTAATATTTATTTAACACACATACCGATAATTTAAAAATAAATTAGTAAAAAAATTTAACTAACCCCACTTGAGCTATGGCAGCACCGAATAGATCAGGTCTTTGATTTACACATACACCAACAGCCAGACCACCGTTACTGCCACCTTGAATCGTTAATTTCGCAGAGGTAGTATATCCATTTTCTACAAGATATTTTGCTGCATATTGAAAATCATCAAATGCATTTTGCCTGTTAAAGAAGCGTCCTGCATTGTGCCATCTTTCTCCGTATTCACTATAACAAAGAATAATATTTTTTATCCAAACAGATACAGATATTTATATGTATATATATTTTCCGGGTATTATGAATGCCTTACATACCCTCCTCCACGAACATTAGCAACTGCAAGTACTCCATTGAAATGTTGAATAAAAACAAGTCTTGTAACACTGAACGTAGGTTGAATACTTGCATTAAAACCACCGTATCCATAAAGTAAGCCTGGCATAGTTCCATCTAATGTAGCATCCTACGTTAAAAATTTTTTTATTTTAATATTGATGAGAAGAAACATAAAAAAATTATAATCTTAAACTATTCTTATAAATCGCTGTATATCAAAGATCTAATCAGCTCATAATTAAATACATTTTAGTATTGATTTTTAAATAATTTACATACATTTCTTGTTACTATAAACATGGGTACTTTTGTACTATCCTTGCTTTTATAAAATATTTGACTAGTTTTGTATAAACTCGCATCAAAATCTTTCACTTTGATTTCTCGCAAGATCTGAAAACAATATCAATTATTGAATCAAGCTATAACTGCATCTAATAAAAAAATGTCATATTATATATTAAATCATACTTAGCATTTAAAAAGACTGATACTAACACGTGGCTCCTCTTCTTTTTTTAAATCGATTGTGTATATAATGCCCGGGGTTAGGAATGATGTAAACTGATAAAATATCTCAGAATATTTCTTCTCTCCCGAGAATCCAACAACAGTACCAAGATCAAGAGGAAATGTTCTAAGAACTTTACCAGTGTTCAAGCAATGCAGTTGCAAAATGTTCTATAAGAAATTAATTATTGGTATTTTTTATTACAATCAATGTAAATACTTTAGATATATATTTACCTTAACATCTTGTATATAACAGGCAACAAATTTGTCTCCATCCACAGCTTCAGCCCAATCTAGTACATTCTCAGGATGTTCTGGCAAAAGATCAACCCATTTGTGTTGTTCGTAATCCAATAAATCTATAGCTACTAACTTGTAATTAGGTGCATTTTTATTTGTGCGGAATACAGCTTTACTATCAATATTGGTCACGTACTGAAAATATACGAGATATATTTTATATATATATATATAGTAATAACGCAGAAGTGTAAGATATTTAAGAAAGAATAAAATATTCATCACTAACTTCATAATCAGCTTCAAATTTATCAACAACTTGTGTCAATGGCAAGTTGTTCTTTACTTCCTTTCCTTTTTCTAATGGTGTAAAATATACTAAATTATCCCTACAATCCTTCCGAGGAGTAACAATGAGCCAATTACCACAATCAGACACTTGTGCACCTCTGATAAAATAATAATAGATTTATTAAATTAAATATATTTAATAAATCAAAGATTTATTAAAAATACATATATAAACAGATAAATTTTTTCTTATCTTTATATATTATGTATGAATATATATATATAGGCTAATATGTTGGCACAAATCTGGATATATTTGAAGACATAACTAGAAGTATTTTTTACGTATTATTGATTTGATTAATATAATTTGAGAATTTATTTGTAAAATATGTACTTTAATTTAAATATCTAAACAAAAAAATGTGTATTAACATATTTTATAGTAATAAAGAAATTAAAAAACTTACATCCTCCACAAAGGTTCTTCAGGAAACTCAACTGCGACAACATCATCTGATTGTGATGTACCAACAACATGGTAACATAATTTTTGATTTTCATTACCTAATGTTTCTGAGCCGTCAGTTTTTCCTTGCTGATCTCGATATTGTCCATAAAAAATACCACGGTTGTCATGAGTCCATGTAATCGATGAAAATTTGACTTTTTCCAAAATTTCTGAGTACTTTTCACCTTCGTAAATATTATATACATTTTATAATTTTTAATAAATAAATATACATATTGTATTAGAACAAAATTGTAAGCTTAAAAATTTTAACATCTTATCTTACTAGTATGTGTATTCAGGAAATGGATAGTCCTCCAGTCAGAACCACTTTTAGATAATCCATATGCGAAAATGCTACCATCCTCAGTAAAACTACTACTGGTAATTGCAACAGTTCCATCCTCGGAAAAAGTATTAGGATCAAGAAATACTTTTGGTTCACTTTCAAGGGTATCTTGTACGTATAAGACACTGAAAAAAATAATAAAAATTCATTAACTTGAGATATCTGTACATATCTGTATATATCTGTATATATCTGTACACTCTCTCTCTCTCTCTCTCTCTCTCTCTCTCTCTCACTCACTCACTCATTCACTCACTCACTCAC